GGGATTTGAAGGTCTATTTATAGCCAACTTGGTGATGTTTCTGAAGAGCTTTGCAACCTTTCAGAATAGTCATGACTGTTGGAACAGGTGTGACCCTCTGAAGAGGTTTGCAACCTTTCAAAACAGTCATGGATGTTGGAACAGGTGTGACCCTCTGAAGAGGTTTGCAACCTTTCAGAACAGTCATGGCTGTTAGAAATTTTTGCGGGAAATTTAAAACGAATTTAAATTAATCCGGGAAAGAAAAACGGGCTAGACCGGACCGGGTCGCGGGTCATCCCTCCATTTCTTTTCCAACCATTTTCCATTCACACCTCTTTTGTTATTATTTATTAAATAACAAACCCAACAATCCCCCACATGAATGGGGAATGGCTATAAACTCAAAGGAATGCACGGACGTGTGTGTGTTTTACAGGCAAGAATTGATTGCCTCTGGATAAGTAGGTTTCCCTTTGAACTTTCCGTAGTGAACTTATATCGGATATACTCGATCAATCGGTAGATTTGATATCTTTGAACCATCGAGCTTTGTTGTATACCTAGACAACATAAGTCACACAATCAATCCTTAACCATCTATGGTTCTCACGGTTGTGTTCGTTTCAGCCATGAACACCGCCTGGTTTCATGAGTGCTTAGAGAATGGGCCTTTACTTTCATTCTCCTTGAAGCGGCTTACACTTCACACTCACATAGGTGATTCCTAAACGTGTAATCCTAAAGACACACTATCTGGTCATATCCTGCCAGACTTAGCAAATCATTAAAAAGCTTTAAGCTTTATTGACTCATCAAAAAAGCCTTAATGCTTTACCTCGTTTTTTGAACATTGTCTTCATCACGAGAATGGGTTGAGTTAGTTGACAATGTTGAACCGTCATTCATAACTTTGTTTGATCTCTTTGAACCTAGCTCTTGGGATCTCCAGTCTTCTAGGTAGAGTTACCGCCATGATGACTTGTCCTAGGCCTTTAACCCCATTCCCTTTGATGATCTTTCAACTGCCTCTCTAGATAGGCCTTTTGTAAGTGGATCCGACACGTTATCTCTTGACTTTACGTAGTCAATTGTGATAACACCACTAGAGAGTAGTTGTCTAACGGTATTGTGTCTCCATCGAATATGACGAGATTTTCCGTTATACATAACGCTCCCTGCCCTACCTATTGCCGCTTGACTATCACAATGTATACATATAGGTGCCAAAGGTTTGGGCCAAAATGGAATATCTTCCAAGAAATTTCGGAGCCATTCAGCTTCTTCACCGGCCTTGTCTAAGGCTATAAACTCAGCCTCCACTGTAGAACGGTCAATGCACATTTGTTTGGACGATTTCCAAGACATCGCTCATCCACCGACTGTTTAGAATCGGTTGAACGGTGATCTAATTTGCATCACTATACCCCTCTATTATCGTGGGATACTTATTGTAGTGCAAAGCATAATTTGGAGTATATTTCAAATACTTCAAAACTCGTTTCATTGTCATGAACGCTCAATGCAAACTTCCTTATGTTGTAGACTAATACGTCTCGATTTTCGATTGCATATCAGATTATTGACTACACTTAATGTAGTAATTATAACAACAGCTGGAATGATTAGCATCAGTTGTGGCCAAAACCTTTTAATATATAACACATTTCGTAATCATTCCGCCATTTTCAAGCATTTGTATGCTATTCATTCATATGTCTATATGATATGCAAATTATAGCACCTCCATTCATGAAACAAATCCAACTTGCAATGGATTTTGGTCATGTTCATCGGTTAGTTCACTTCATTATAGACCAACGTATTAATATATTCGTTCATGAACGGTCATGTCTATACAGAAGTATCTTTCTATGAAAAGTCACAACCTTCAGAGTGACATCATTTCATAAAAGAACTAAACAATATAAATTTCCATTAAAGAAAATGACCTTTCGAGAAAGGCATGTGACCAACTTCCGAATTAGTAGTTTCATCAACTAGTCTTTATTAAGACTAAACAACTGATGATTTTACCAACTACTATATCAATGGAGTTCAAAAATTATATAATTTAGACATTACGTCTAACATTGGCTTTTGTCATGCATAAGCTAAAAGCCCCCACATTTTAAATATTTCATCAACATATCATATATAATCAAATAATGACTATATGATTTGAAGTATTCTTAAAGTAAACACATTTGTTTACACTCATTAATTTTTAAAACCATTTGACAATATTATTTGGTCAAATCTCGCATGTCATTGTTTACTAAACAATTGTATCCAAACGTTACGACTTTCCCGGTTTCTCGGCCAGAGGAACAGCAGTGCAGCTTGAGGAGGCTATCGTCGTTTGCACCAACAGTCGCAGAAGGAATTCCATTCTCATTTGCCATTTCTTACAATGAACAAAAGAAGAGATCAATTAATGGCAAAACCAAAACAGTAAATAATACTGTAATTAATAAACAGTACGTAATAAAAATAACTAAAGTTTTTATATACTGTTTTACAGAAAAAACGATGAAGTTTTTATGTTCTTCAAATCGTTTTCTGAATTTCAATACTCTGATGAAGTTTTTATATCTTCAAATCAGAATAATAAAATTCAGACAGAATACAGAATATAATAAATATAATTTCCTTAAGATTGTTATTTATCTGTATTGCTATAAGTAAATAAAACAGTAATCTTTCTGAAAAAATAAAATAGAAAGTTAGTATAAACAATTCTGAAAAATAATATTCGAACTTCAAAATAATTTTTGAAACGTTGAAGGAACAAATCGAGCCCACTGAATACACAGTGTGACCTTAAGAAAATTATTCCCCTCAAGTACCGAGGTTATGGAATATATCCTCCCAGGATAGAACGATTTAACTCACCAGTGTATCGGTACCTAAAACTCTGGTGATTGGCGAACCACTCGATGGTCGTAAAACACACTGGAATATTTTGTGCAGAAGAAGAAGAAGATTCAGAAAATTTTGTAAGTGAATATTCTGGGATTTGAAGGTCTATTTATAGCCAACTTGGTGATGTTTCTGAAGAGGTTTACAACCTTTCAGAATAGTCATGAATGTTGGAACAGGTGTGACCCTCTAAAGAGGTTTGCAACCTTTCAGAACAGTCATGGCTGTTGGAAATTTTTGCGGGAAATTTAAAACGAATTTAAATTAATCCGGGAAAGAAAAACGGGCTAGACCGGACCGGGTCGCAGGTCATCCCTCCATTTCTTTTCCAACCATTTTCCATTCACACCTCTTTTGTTATTATTTATTAAATAACAAACCCAACACTTCTTTCATATTTACTACGCAGCACTTGGACCCATAAGGCCTCCTTGTTGCTAGAGTATCTCCATGCCAAGCTAGTACTGAATGCATCATTTTTGCATTGGGTTTTATATAGCCCTAAGCTTTTTGGTTTGGTGACTTTGTTCCAATTTAGGAGGTGGCATTTTCTTTTTTTCCTCCGTACTTCCCCATAAGAAATTTCGTTGTATGGAGTCAATCCTGTTTAGGGAAGCTTTTGGGAGGTTGAATATTTGCATGGTATGGCTAGGAATGGCTGCAAGAGTTGCTTTAATGAGGGTGGTTCTTCCTGCTAGGTTCAGGAAGTGAGTTTTCCAGCCTTTTAGTCTGCTATTGAGTCTATCAATGATGAATTGGAAGTCTTTTTTAGACAATCTCTGGTTTGTCATGGGGAACCCCAGGTATTTTCCCACTGAAGCTGAGATTTTTATGTTAAGGCACCTGTTGAAAAAAGATTGTTTGTTAGGAGGTGTATTTTTTGAGAAAATTACCCTGGATTTGCTGAAATTTATGAACTGGCCAGAGAAGGTGCAAAATTTGTTGAATATATCTATGAGTGAATTACAACTTTTCTTATTAGCCTCCATCATCATCATCGTTAATCTCAAGCAATAATGGATATTCTTGTCCTCTTGCTTTTTTTTTTAAATACTAATTTTAATCGTGTTGCTCCTTTCAACACATATACATAAACTTTTTATCGTTCACTTTTTGTTTTTGTTTTTCTCCTAAATGTAAGACAGATCAAATTAGCATGGTTCCAAGTGGTCCTAAATCGCCTCCAAATGAACTATCCACACGACTCATTTTAATGCAGAAAATGTTACTAGAACAAATTTGATACCATGATATAACAATGTATTTAAGCGGTCGAAATAGGAGATGTTGAGATTAAGTAAAACCACCATATTACGTAATTAATTATTATGTTAACGATTATAAATGAAATAACTATTTACAAATTACAAGCCACACTATTAATACAAATGGGTTCAACGGTTGACCTTCATTTATAACATTTCCACATTAGAACTTTAATAAAATCTATTCGAAAGCAAAAGGAAATTGAAAATGACACTTCTCTTTTCATTTTATTAGAAAGCGACGTGCTTCATGCTCATAACTTACTTGATATATGCTCTTCCATTTGCATCACCAACATTCTTTTATTAATTTCCTCCATGTCATGTTAAATCAAAGTCAAGTAGTTTAGGTGATGCAACACCTAGCTGAGATACTGGTCAAATTCATCCCTTTCATACACAAAAGGATCCAAGAATTTTGTTGTCCTTTGGTTTGAGTTATGACCCTTTTAAGAAGGTACAATAAATTCATAAAATATGGTGAGTTCTGATGTTAGATTGATGAGCTATGTGAAAAGGACTAAAATTTAGCTAAGAGAATAATTAAATAAAATAAGGAATTATTATCTAAGATTGACTTCTTACTTTTTCTCTTCATGGGAAACATCATCTATATATATATATATATATATATATATATATATATATATGTGGTCCCAATATCTGCGTATAGACTTTACTCATACTTTGTGAAGGTAGACAGGTTGTTTCCAATAAACCCTCGGCTCAAAACATTAATTAATGTTTTTATTGATGCTTTAAGAACAACCTCTTAGATTCTTCATTATGACTATTTTTTTGGTAGGAAATGTGAAAAAAGTGTCATGAAGACCATGAGGCAAACACCATTTAAGAAAACTCAAATGGCTTAAGTAGTGATATATATTTAGAAACAAAAACTTCAATTTTGGTCAGCCAAAACCATTCTACTTAAAGGACTTGGGCCAAGCTTTTTTCTTCTTCTAAGAGAATTTCTTCTCCTAATAACTTCCATTTGATTCCTTCTCCTAAGTTGCATCATTGCTTCTTCTTCAACGACAAATCTCCTCATTAATACATCATCAGTCAATGATTTTCCTCTAAATATTTTCCTTCCTTCCAAACTCATTCTTCCACTTGGAATTCTTTCTTGTGAAATGGTCATTTGCTTTGATCTAATTGGAGGAGGATAACTATTACTTTTTCTAGGTGGAACATGATCTACTTGAAATACTTCTGTATAGGAAGAAATTGGTGCACATAGACAAACTCTAGTGAAAGAAGTTGCTACCCTTAAAGAGGTGCATCTTCTTAGCTTTTCTCTATTATTATTCGAATTATTTGTAGTGCTTGAAATCTCTCTTGATTTTGAAATGCATGTTGGATTTCTTGTCGGAATTTCACTTGGCTTGCCAAAGCTTTTCCATAGAGACGCCATTTCCATTGCTTTTTGGTACCAAGCCTTCCTACAATAACATATTGACTTTAACTTTTAATAAAAATTATTTACACAATTACAAAATTTGACCACGTGTGTGTAACTTCGAAACAAGTATGCAAATAACCTGCTAAAACGGATTAATTTTTACACTCTTCGTCTGTATATGTTTAATTCATAGGACTATTTAATATGGTTGTCCTCTTCAAAAAGCACCAAATATGGGGACTTCAAATACCAAGATTGACTTTGTAAAAGATGGATATAACATTTGAAAGTCATGAAAAAGAGGGGGAAAACGCCATGAACTTTGTTAAATCAGGTCAATTGAAATTCTCTAGACTGTCTCGAAAAGGGCTAGACTTCTAACTCCAATTGATAGACGAATAGACATTAGACACTTCTGTTGACCAAGTCCTTTAGGATAGGTCAAAGTTTGATTCAGTCTTTATCAAACAGTTGAAATCATTGATCTTAGAGGATGTTAAGGCTTTTAATATGGGCCTAAAATGTATTGTGTCACATGGGGGCAAGTTCACATATAGCTATTTTCAGATATGCTACTTAGGGGTCATTTTGTTGGGAAGGTGATCTCAGGATTAATTATCGTGAGATTAGTTATTTCATCTTTTCATGGGGATAAAAAACATTACAATTCTGGGATAACTAATCACGGGATTAATTATACCGCAGTTTTTTACCAACCAAACATGGGATAAACTCTATTTAAATTTAGTCCCGAGATTAATTATTCCTTATCCCTCGTACCAAATGAGCCCTTAGAGATTAACCAATACTTATTTTTATCGTGAAATTTTAAATTAAAAATTTTAAATTCAAAACAATTCATGATATTTTTGTCCTAAAAAATTGAATTGAGAAACTGAAATAATACAACTCATGTTGAGGCATATTAACATTTCCCAATTCAAGGTAAAGAACCTCATTGTTAACAAGAGGAACACATAAAGGACAACTAGTCCTCTCTTACCTCATCAGCTCATATATCTTTCACTAATTGGTCTTGACCACATCTTCCCATCGAGGAGGAGTAGTATTTTTCCCCTTTATGGGCAAATAATATAGGGATTATAAAACATGACTGATCATTTAATCAGGTTCTTTTTATTGACGACTCAAAATTTTTTTAGTGGGGTCATAAAAATCGGGTTAATTTAAAAATCAAACAAAATTCATAGAGACATACTTTTTTTTTGTAATGGTGTCAAAGCATTTTGTAATGTCGGATAACCAGAGAAGACACCGATCACAACTCTTGTTATGTTACAGCATAATTTGTAATTGACACTAAATTATAGTGATAGTGTAAAGAATGTCAGTTTGTATATATAAGATAAACCATTTGTTTACAATTCATGAGTCTTCATCCACCCCAGGGTAAAATTGACAGCATGTAATTTTATAGAAAGAAATATTGAAATTAAAGGAAGAAGATGAAGGAGAGAAGTTACCTTGCTTGTGAAGAGTTCTTTGGATCTTGCATTAACAAATAAGATCAAAGATGGTGTGAGTGAATAAAGATATAGAGAAATTTCAGAGAAAAGAAGAAGAAGCAGAAGAGTATGATAAAGAAAGTTCTTCTCATCTGGGATTATACTAGTACACTTACTATAAAAAAAAGCAAAGAAAAGACTTATGATAATCAACTACACACACAGAGTTTCTGAAATATGGGTTGGCAACTTAATTTAGAGCTTTCTTTTTCTTTTTTCTAATAATAATCTTTTTTCTTTATTATAAGGCTCTTCCTTTTTGCTTTAGCAGGCAAATGATTCTTGCTGACATTCAAATTTCAAAAGTGCAAAGTGAGAGTGAGATTATTATTTGGTTGCTTTTTTTTTTTTTTTTTTAACCCTTTCGTAAAAATTAATA